TCAGCTGCGGAGCCTGTGTCCTGGAGGTGGGGTGGCTGGGCTGTGCAGTAATTCAGTTTCTAAGTTTGCGAAGACTCTCCGTGGTGGCGCGCCATTCGCATCCCTTGCAGCACACGAGAGTCCACATTTCTCCACGAGCCTCAGCGTGCTCATTTTGCTTCCTGCGGTGACCGCTGTGTGAGGCATGGGGCCGAGGTTTTCACACTCTGCTCTGTGATTCTAGGAGGCCCCGCCTGCCCCTCACGGCCATGCAGGCTGAAGGCCACCACCGTGGGATCCTAAAGACGGATGGCCGCGATCGTCGGTGACTAAGCCCTGCGGGAGGGCGCTTTTGCTGCCCCAGCCTCGGAGGTGGAGGAGCTGGGGGAGCCTGTGTGGGAGAGGCTGAGCCTGGAGACTTCAGACTCAGGGTTTGCTCGTTCCAGCCTTACCCAGAGGAGTGAGACACATGCAGGTGCTGGCGTGAATCAAACACAAGTCCGCTTGCATCCCCAGCGGGTGCAGCGCTGCTCTCTGATTCCCCTGTGCCAGCCTTCCCGCCGCCGGTGCCAGAAAGCCGTGGTCTAAATAACGGGGGCTTCTGGAGCACATTTTCTCCACTTAATAATTGACTCAAGTGCCTGCTCTTCGTACCTCTTTTGTTTTTCACTGTTCTTTCCAAACTTAATACGATTTCTCATAAACTTAAAGTTTATATAAAGCTTATTACAAAGGGTTTCCAGTAACAAAACCAGTATGATTTCTTGAAACTTATGTCTAAAATAGTTTACAGGTTGAAGCTTTAAAAGAGCAGCTGCATCACCATGTGTCCATTTCGTGAGTGAGTGTCTGTCTTTGCTCGGCCCTTTGGGTGGAGTGAGGTGTGGCCGCTGCTCCAGAGCAGCCCTGTCTAGAGGGACGGACAGCTCGCCACTACCTGTCGCCTTAGCAGCTGAGTGATGCTTCCTTAAGGTAACTTTTTGGGATTTTTGGTGGCACTAGAGCTCGAACCCAGGGCCCTGTGCATGCTAGGCAAGCTGTCCTCAGTCCAAGGGAGAGCCCTGGACATCAAGATGCAATGGGAGGGATGGGATCTACTTCCTACAGTCTAGGAAAGACCATTACAGAGTGTGCGTGGGTGGGTTGATGTATGTACTACACCGCGTGCACCCACGAGTGGACAGGCGTGTGCAGCTTCAGAACCTGAGGATGTAGATGACACAACAGCTCTTTCAGAAAGGTCCTGAAGGATTTTCTTGAGTTTATAATCAAAAGTTGGTAGTGAAATTCCCATTTCTCATTTTTCCGTCATCCTTTATATTTGGAATTTCTCCGCCAACAGCAGAAATTAGATGAAAACCCAAATGACATTGTTTACTTGGGTGTAAAATAGCATAAGAGAAATTATAAAAATCATCCTCTGAGGTTTTAGAAAAGAAGGGGTTAGACTTCCGGTGAAAACTTCACCCTGGTGCAGCGGTAGTAAGGGGTAAGGTTCACGCCCGCTGCCCCTGTGCCATCTGCTCAGCTGGTCACATCCCTCCAGAGGCTGAAAGGACAGAGCCTCCTGGAAGCCTCCAGTTAGTGAACCCAGAACCCATGGGAAATGGAGCTCTGTTCACAGCGCACGCCTTCGTGGTGTCCTGTTGCAGCTACAGACTGCGGTGCCAGCCGCTCACCGGGGTTAAGACCCTGAGCGCTGGCTGTGGAGAACAGCAGTAGTGGCACCTTCAGTTCCTTCCATGTGGTCTCCTTGTCTGAGCGCTTTGACTGCCTTCATTTTCTCTTCCTCTTCCTGTTCTGCCTCCTGTCCTTTAGCTTTTAGTTTTCAGTGTTTAAACCCAGCCCAGCCCCTGCTCTGCTGCGGAGCTGCACCCCGCCCCTGTGCGTTGGCTTCTCTGACCCTCCTGAGGCAGCATAGAAGGGCAGAGGTGGGCTGAACGGAGACCAGGGCACCGTGGCGCTGGAGCTGCCATCCTGAGAAAGCTGCAGTGTTGTGACGCGTCCCTCACCGGGGCTGCAGTGCCCCTTTCACTCCAGGCCTCACTTTCTTCCAGGTCGTCACGCCCAAACTCCTGAGTCGTAAAGACAGGGAGTGCATAGATCCAGCACTGTAAACCGCAGATTTCATGCACTTCCACCCTCCAAGACATTGGTACCATGTCTGTGACCTTCAAATGAATGCGTGCTCCTCGGGGGACCTTCCCAGACCCCACCTGTGACCTCCCAGTGCTGCGAGCCTCCCGTTGGTGCCAGCCCTGACCAGAGCCACGGTGAGGGGCCGACAGTAATGCCTGGGACAGGATTCATTTTGTCCCAGCTGTCGAGCTGGCATCTGGGGTCTCGTGCAGGTCTTCTCGTGTGTTCTCTGCAAGGCAGGCACAGGCTGTTGTCACGTGGTGGCAGAGGAAGCTGGATAGGCTCCTCTGTTTTGCTCCTTGTGAGGCACCTCACCCCTTTATCGCTTAGCCCTGCCTCAGTCCCCCAACATTTGCAAAACCTGGTGAAGATTCAGCCCTGAAGTCCTGTTCCAAAACTCCTTCCTCCACATGCTGTCTCACTGCCATCGTGGAGGGACATTTTTTTTTTGGGGGGGGGGTACCGGGATTGAACTTGTATCCTTGCGCTTGCAAGGCAGGCCACCGAACCGCTGAGCTAAGTCCCCAGCCCTCGTGGAGGGACATTGACGGCAAAGGCCAGAGCCAGCTTCACACAGCTTGGAAGTCCCCACCGGGGTTTGGATCGACAGTGACACCCAAGGTCTCCTGTGTGCAGAGGTTGCTTCTGGGAAGTGCTGGAGCGTGGGGCACCACACTCCTCAGTGGACTGACCTGGTTGAAGGCGCCTCGGGAGGCGGGGCCTGGCTGAAGGTGGGCACCAGGCGTGCCTGGCAGAGAGTGTTTCTGTGCCCACTCCACTTCTCTGCTTCCTGATGGTCTTGGGGTGACAGCTGTCCCCTGCCCTTCTGTCCCACCGTGCTGATGGTGCCTGGCAGCCAGCCAGTTCTGCACAGGACCCTCCTCCTCCTCTTAAGTTGTGGGTGTTGAAGATTTTTGTACCAGCATCGAGAAAGTGGCGAATACACATTCAACCCCCTTTTCTCTTTCCTCCTTTAAAGTGGAACAAGGTGCCAGCCTGTTTGTGAAAATGGGAGGATATAGGGAGGGTAGCAATAGTGAGACATAAGGGGTGACCGACATGAGCAGTGCATACTTGAATTATCGCAGAGAAAGACTCCTGCTCACTGCACAGCTCATCAGGCGGCCACATTTGGACACGGTTCTAGAAGTCATCTTTCTGGCTCCTCCCCAAAGGCAAAGCTACCATGAAAAGTCAATGTTTTGAGTCTGGGAAATCAGGACAGCCGCGCTAGCGCAAAGCCAAACTCCTGGGAGTGGATGCCATGGCTTCTGGACGTCCTCTCAAAGCCTTATGCACTCTTAGGTGGAGCTTTTGGGAGGTGACTGGGTCACAGGCGTGGGGTGCTGGATTAGTCCGCCTTTGGCTTTTTAGCTGGGTGTGATGTGGGAGGTGAAGCCTCTCTCCGTCTTGGCTCTGCTCCCTGCCTGCTGTGCTGTGAGGTCTTTCTGCTCCGGGGTCTCTCAGCGGGTTATGTATGCACTCCCTAAGGGAAGGATGGCCCCTGTCATCCTGTTCCCAAGCTGTGCACCAGCCTGTGCCAGGCAGGCTTGAATCTCGCCGCCTCCGAGTGAGGACCTGTGGGTGCCGGAAGGAGGACTCCCTCGGGCCCAGCGGAGGGAGAGTTCCGAAAAGTCCCCTTGGTGACATCACCCCCGGCCACTGTCCCCTGCTGCCCACCCCCGAGCAGGTCCTTTTCCTCACCTGCTCCAGCTGGAGTCCGAGTCTCTTCGTGTCAGTGTTGGGGTCCCCCAGGTGTGGCATGTCCTGGACAGGAGCTAGCCAGCAGTCACCCTCAGGAGGAGGCCAAGCAGAAGCAGGCTGGATGGAGGCTCAGGGAGGGCCCCCCAGGGGCTGGCAGGACCCACAGCCTCGCATCATCGGGCTCTTGGGGTGCTCGCCGAGGCCCCTCGCCCACACCCTGCAACCTCGGGCCCTCAGCTGGGGGCAGGCAGTCAGCCGCACAGGTCCACAGTGGGTGCAGGTGTGTGGCATCCGCCACCCTGCTGCGTGAGTCAGCTCGCCATGTCAGGTGCCTGCGGTGGGCACTGGCCCAGGGCCCTTCCCGCCCTGCAGAGCCGCCCTGCCTGCCAGCTGCAGCCTCACAGGGTGTGGTAACGGCCTGGCTGCTCCTGGTCGCAGCATGTTCTTTGGGGTCTCGCCTGGGGAGCCGGGGCCCCTCTGTTTAGGCTTTGCCTGCGCTCTGTTCCTCTTCCCGTTCCCCATGTCCAGACCGCTGTCACTTTCTCTCTGGCTTCCTCTCCCTGCTGCAGGTCTCCTGCCTGGTACAGTGACTGCCACCCGCGGGACCCCAGCCCTTGGCACTGTGGCCTCTCCACTGTGTCTTGGGACTGGTGTCCTCTGGCACTGTCCTTAGGGTGACCTCGCTGGAGGCAGGGACGGCCTGTCCCCGACCACAGAGCCGGCTGGCCGTGTGCCCGCAGCCTGTGGAGCCCGGGTATAGGTGTCTGCGCCTGAGGGAGGCTGCCCAAGAGCAGGGCCGGGCCCAGGGCTCTGGCTGCACGGGAGGGGCTGGGCCAGACTAGGTGGGAGTGGGCGCTGTCACCATGTCCCTTTCTGAGCAGCCGTGTGGGTGCAGGAGCTGTGGGCGGAGGGTGTGGGCTAGAGGCGAGCCACAGTCGCCGCAGGGAGTGTCCTGTGCCCGTTGCGTGGCTGGGGAGTCCTCACCTCCGGGCCACAAAGGCTGCTTGCCTGCACCTGAGGGTCACGGTGCTGCTCGGCCGGAAGTGTGGGTGTCAGCTCCCTCACGGTCGTCGTTCTGCTGGAAGGAAGGCAGAGTTCGCGTGGAGCGAGACTGTCCTCCCTCTCCTTCCTCCTCTCCTGTGTCCTCTTTCCTTTCCTTTCCTTCCCTTTCCCTTTCCTTTCTTTCTGATTTTCCTTTGGGCTCTAGGTTGCTGCAGCCACTGGCCACACAGTGGTGTTGGTGGACCAGACCGAGGACATCCTGGCCAAGTCCAGAAAGGGGATCGAGGACAGCCTGAGGAAGATGGCAAAGAAGAAGTTTGCAGAAAACCCCAAGGTGGGTTCTGGCCCAACGCCCTGAACCCAGGCCTCTGACTGCTCGCGTTTGTGAGGGCTCCCAGCCTTGCTTTCCCCGGGCGTGTGTGTGGGTTTCAGGATTGCAGAAACCTTTCCCCGCGACTGTAGGCTGATGCAGGAAGAGTCACCAGGGTCGGGTGGGGTAGGAAGCAGAAGGAAAGGGTTTGAGGTCGAGGAGACAGTTTCTGCAGGCCATGGACCCATTTCAGAAGAGTGCGAGAGCTTGGGGCGGAGCGACAACATTTCCAAAGGAGGGGAGAGGGAGATAGAGGAAGAGACTCGTATGTTCACTTCCCAAGGTAAAAAACAGAATGCTGAGGTATTTAGATAGGTGCCCAGCAGTGCCCAGCAGTGTCTGATCGTGCCCTGGGATGACGCACCCACTTCGGGGAGCAGAAGCAGGGGATCAGTTACAGGAAAAGACCCACCAGGCGCATGCCCTCACGGGCCTCGCTTTGCACACTCGCCTGGCTTTCTGCCACTTTCTGAAGCAGCCCCGCAAAGCCTCTTCCCTGAGTGTCTTGACAAAGCGTGATCAAAAATATGGTGAAAGCTGCTTCCAGTGCCGTCCACAGGAAGGGCAGGCTCGCAGAAACACGACAGTGTGTCCCCAAAACGGACCTGGCACCCTGTGACTCTGGCTCTTCCCCACAGTCAAAATGGCCATGAGAGGTCAGTGCTTTGCACATCGAGGCAGCCACAACAGTGCAGCTAAAGACACACAGGAAGTAGGACTCCAGGGCTGCTCCAGAAAGTGGCACAGACGATGAGATCAGTGCTAGACACGGGCACACTGGGACACCGCGCTGCCCGGCAGGAAGGCAGTGTTTGAGAGCTTGTTTGGAGGTTCTAGCAGGGGAGCGCAGCTAGCGTATACCCTTGACTCAGGAACCGGTCCTCCTCTATCCGGGTTCTTGGACAGAACGCGCAACTTCGGGAGGGACGCACGTGGAGCGGTGAGGGAGGAAGGGGACACCGCCTAGCCAGCCAGGTCAGCCGGAACAACCCTGGCGATCAGTGGGGCAACAGATGTCTCAGCCAGATCGTCCTCACATCCCAGAGTCTGATCGCGAGAGCCTGGGTGTGTTCAGGCCAGGTCCTCGCCCCGCAGCAGGCCCACCGTGACGGCCCCTTCTGCACCAGGCTGCTGACGAGTTCGTGGCCAAGACCCTGAGCAGCATCACGACCAGCACAGACGCCGGGGCCGTGGTGCACAGCACTGACCTGGTGGTGGAGGCCATCGTGGAGAACCTGAAGGTGAAGAGTGAGCTCTTCCAAAGGCTGGACAAGTTCACGGCTGAGTACGTGACCCTGGGTCCTCGGAGCTCCTTGCCCTCCACCCTCCCGATTTGCTTCTGATGTGGAGGGAGCTGCTGGGCCTGTTGATGTTGAGCACTTTCCGGCTTCAGCAGAAACCCTCTGGGGGCATCCTGGGGGCTCTGAGGCTCACAGCGGGGCAGCAGGGGGCACTGGGCAGCCCGCACTAGAGCCTCGGAGCATGCGACCTGGCTCTTGTCGACCTGTGCTCCTGTGGCCTGTGCATGTACACGTCTCCTGTTAGGGCAGTGTTTGGCAAGCGGGACCCAGCCACCCGCACTGTAAGCTGAAGAGGGACACTTGGTGTCCTGCCTGATGGAAAGTCGCCAGGGCCTGGTGCTGGGAAGGCCCTGCCCTCCTGTCACCTGTGTCTCTGCTGGGCAGCATGCAGTAGGGTGGCAGAGGCAAGGACAGCGCTCTGAGGACTGGGGCGACTCTCCTGCTAGGGGTTCAGGGTGGGCCCTGTGCAGGGAGGAACCAAGCAGTGAAATCCGGCCAGGCACTGCAGTGCAGGGAGTGAGAGAGCGGCCTCTTCTCTGCCGTGGTCCCCAGCCCTGACTCAGCACGCAGGGACCCTGGGGGCTGGGGTCTGTGCTGCCACCTCTAGGATGAAAGACGATTTGGTCAGAGTGTCAGAAGGTGCGGATAGGTGGGTGCGAGGGGTGTGTTTAGGACACAGGCGTGCGTTCTTCGGGAGGACCAGGAATCCGAGATTCACAGTGCGGCAGAGCTCACAGCCAGACCTGGGCTGCCCACCCGTCACCACGCTGCCGACCACGCGTTCCCTCCTGTTCCCTGCCCGGCCAGCAGGGCCCTCCCACGGGAAGGCAGGTGGGAC